TGTCAATCATGGGAAATCCTTTGAGACAATAACCCCCAAGACAAAAAGACAGAGGGTTTTTTTACTACCCCTCACTACTTTTTTAAAACGTCATAAAAGGGGTTTTAGGAAAGGTTAAATTGCTGCGATTTTGTTTAAAACCCCTCCACTAAGTGGCACCGTCCCCTGGAAAGGGAAACCAAAGTCACTTTGTGGTAGCCCTGGACATTGCCGGGGGCTTTTTTGACCAGGTTTTTGGAAAAAGGGCCCCCTTAGGGAAAACTTCAAGCACTGGGAATTGCGGCTCTACACTATTTTCTCCTCAGTGATTACCTTCATGGTTTAAACTGTAAGTGTAGTTTTTCAATGGAAAAGGAATCGCAAAAACATTTCCCATTGGGGCAAGGGTTTTCCCCCAAAAGGAAAGGGGTGCTGGGGGGCCATTGTTTTGGAATTTCTAAATTCAACGACCCACATCTCATCCCCCCAATACATGCTTTTGCAGGGCGAAATTTCACTGACAATTTACTTATCCAAGAAAGAAATGCCCAGCTTCTCCCAAGTACATCAAACACCCAGCCCGGGGAAAAAGGGGGGGGGGTATCAGCCCTTTTTGGGAAAAAGATGGCAAAATAACAAATTTTCAACCCGGAAGGGGGGAAAAATGCAAAAGATCGTCCCCTAAAGGGCCCCTGATGGGGATTGCTGGGGGGATTGTAAGGATGAATGGGAGGGTGTTTTGGGAAACCCGGGGGGGAAGTTGGGAAACCTTGGGGGTAAATTTGACCCAAAATAAAAATGGAAAAACCATTTGTTAATCTTGCAAACAAGGGAGCCAGGGAAACTTCAGCCCTTCGCCGTTTTTCTCGCATTTTCTTGAAAGTAGGGGTTGCAAAAATCCTTGTACGAGGCCCCCGTAAAGCTCAAAACCCCCTTTAGTATGCTCCCCCTTTCTTTGGGTTTTCCCCCCGCCCCCCCCCTCATCTGCGACTTTTCTTTTACAGATTAAAAGAAAGAAACCCAAACGTCTATCTCTCCCTGGGCCCCCTCCTGGATAGATCTGTCATTTCAGCAGAGCCCTTTAACATAGGGGGGATTTTTTTGGGGGGCCCTTTTTTATGTCCAAAAGGGCCCAAAATTGTCAAAAAAACCACATTGGGGGGTCCATTCGAGGGGCAGCGGGGGAAAAAAAGCTTTTATGCCACAAGACGGGCAGGGGGAAAAACAGCAACTTTACTTGGCTGTTTCCCTTCTCCAAAAACGTCACCCATCTGAATCCCTGCATACCCAGGGTGGAAAATCGAGTATGGACCCCATTTGTACAGCATAATGATGTCAAAAGAGATTGTTTATCAAATGAAAAGCTGGCCAAAAGATGGGTCCAAATTCCCTTTCCCGTTTCCCCCATTGTATTCCCTCGTAACAATAAAAATGGTTTTCAAAGATTTATGTAGGGGAAAAAAGCTCTTAGCTTGCCAAATTTTGACCATTGTTTCTGTGGCCCATCTCTGGCACATCCTGTCTCTGTCCACCTTGTCTATTCTATGCAGTATTTTGTATGTAGTTATCATGTCTCCCCTGACCCTCCTGTCCTCCATTGTTGTCAGACCAATTTCCCTTACCCTTTCTTCATAGGACATTCCCCTTAGCTCTGGAACTAACCTTGTTGCAAACCTTTGCACTTTCTCTAATGTCTTGACGTGTTTGACCAGGTGTGGGTTCCAAACTGGTGCTGTGTGTGTGTGTGTGTGTGTGTGTGTGTGTGTGTGTGTGTGTGTGTGTGTGTGTGTGTGTGTGTGTGTGTGTGTGCGCGTGTGCGTGCGTGTGTGTGTGTCGCCTAATTCTCGCCTAGTTGTGGTTGCAGGGGTTAAGTCACAGCTCCTGGCTCCGTCTCTTCACCTGGCTGCTACCCAGTCACTCTTCCTGCTCCATGAGCTTTATCATACCTCTTCTTAAAGCTATGTATGGCTCCTGCCTCCACTACATCACTACCCAGGCTATTCCACTTACTGACAAGTGTGACTGAAGATATACTTCCTAACATCCCTGTGATTCATCTAAGTCTTCAGCTTCCAACTGTGACCCCTCATTGCTGTGTCCCATCTCTGGAACATCCTGTCTGTCCATCTTGTCTATTCCTCTCTGTATTTTATATGTCATTGTCATACCCCCCCTCCCCCCCAAGTCTTCTGTCTTCCAGTGTCGTCAGGTCAGTTACCTTTAACCTTCCCTCGTAGGACATACCCCTTAGCTCCGGAACTAGTCTTGTTGCAAACCTTTGCACTTTCTCTAGTTTCCTTACATGCTTGGAAAGGTGAGGGTTCCAAATTGGCGCTGCATATTTGAATATGGGCCTAACGTACAGTGTACTGTCCTGAATGACTCCTTATTTAGATGTCGGAATGCCAGGTGCCCGTATGCTGCAGCAGTTATTTGGTTGATGTGCGCCTCAGGAGATGTTCCCGGTGTTATACTTGCACCAAGATCCTTCTCCTTGAGTGAGGTTTGTAGGCTCTGGCCCCCTAGATTGTACTCCATCTGTGGTCTTCTTTGCCTTTCCCCATTCTTCATGACTGCACTTGGTGGGGTTGAACTCCAGGAGCCAGTTTCTGGACCAGGCCTGCAGTCCAGATCCCTCTGTAGTTTTGCCTGGTCTTCGTCCAGTTGAATTCTTCTCATAGACTTCACATCATCAGCAAACAGGGCTGCTTAGGAGTCTATTCCTTCCATCATGTTCACAAATATCAGAAACAGCACCGGTCCTAGGATTGATCCATGTGTGTTTTCCTTAAACTGTTGGTAACCCAAAAATTGAAAGCCCCTTCTGTGGGTGTTTTTTTTTTTTTTTTTTTTTTTTTTTTTTTTTTTTTTTTTTTTTAGAAAATTGCCTACCAAATTTTTTTTTTAAGCAATAAATACAAAATTTAATGCAATATTTGTGGAATTAGTTGGGTGTGAAGTTGAAGGTGGGGCAGAAATGTATGCAACAGGGCTTTTGCCCAGTTTGAAGTCTTTCAGGCAAATTTCAATGCCCAAACCAACCTAACTAGTCTGCTAGTATGCCTTCTATACAACCCACTGATTGCAAGAAACTACCCTAATAAGTGTCTAGAAGGTATTTTATTAATTTGACTTATTTTCAACTAGGGAAGAGAGGGTGGGAGTGCCCTTCCCCCTTTCCTTCTTCTCAAGAAACTAAAAGACCATTTCTACCAATTTTGATGCCTATTCCAGACCACTTTTGGGTAAACTGACCAATCTTCTCCATTTTACTAGTATGTTGGCCAATCTCTATTGGTACCAAGGAATGGCCAATAAAACCATGGAAACTACCCTTAAAAATGCCTTAATTTCACTTTTTGGGGAGTATTTTTAAATGCTAGACACCCATCACAGACCCATTCTCTTGTGTATAGGTCAAAATTTGACATACCGAATTTGAGGGTTTTAAGATTTATGCATAGGTCTATAACAGACTGCAGTCCCACTGATGCAACTCCAAGACAATTTTTCAGATTGCAATGAAAATGAAATACATATACAGGATATTTTTAATCTGACCTTAAAAGCTTTGCATACAGTAACCTCTACCCCCCCCCCCCCCCCAAGTCGGCCATCTCCTACTGAGGCAGGCGACACAAAGAAAAATCCCCAAAAAGAAAATACTTTCATCATTCAACATTTTCACCTCACTCATACATAATCAAGTCTTTGCAGAGGTGCCCAGGTACAACAGTTTAGAAGCACATATAAAGATATATGTATAACATATCCCTCCAAACTGCCAATACCAACTTCAATTTCATTGGACTAATTGTGGAAAGTGTTAATCAGAAATGCTAGCTTTTGATGTAATGATCAGGCTGATAGATTGTTACTCAACACATTTGCTGTCTGTACCATAGTACTAAGGGTTTGAGGTCACTGTCCGGGCCGCAGAACTATACCATGAGTTTGGCTCACTCAGATAAGCTGTGTGTGGTAAATTTGGGCCTAGATATGAGAATGGGTCTATGCAAAAGTGTTTTTGGTTTAAAAGTGCAAATTTGCTGTGTTGCATGGTTTTATGGTTGTATTTTGGTTTCTAAGTCTTGTTTGATAGAATGGAAAATATATTACAGAAATAGAGATGATTTTAATTGGTTTCAGGATGGAAGAATCTTTAAATTAAGCTCAAAGTAGCAGAAATGTTTAATTTTTGCCAATTTTCAAGAGTAAACGAATCCCGTCATTCATCTAGTGCACATCCAGCTGGTGGGGTTTTGTGTTCACAAATACACTGATACTATACAATTATTACAATATTGTGTAACTAATTCTATTTAATATTTTTTTTTTTAATAAAAATTCAGAATGGAATTAGTGAAAAGTCTGGGAACATAACTAACGAACAGAGGAAATGTTATTTTAATGCCAAGAATGCCTGCATTGTTTATTCTGGACCCTATTTTGAAATTGTGTGAAATTGGCAAAATTATCAATTTGATTACGGGGTAGGGGTCGTCCTCGAAAAGGTTGGAAGAAAGGGGTAAGGGAGGTTTTATGGGCGAGGGGCTTGGACTTCCAGCAGGCGTGCATGAACGTGTTCGATAGGAGTGAATGGAGACGAATGGTATTTGGGACCTGACGATCTGTTGGAGTGTGAGCAGGGTAATATTTAGTGAAGGGATTCAGGGAAACCGGTTATTTTTCTATAGCTGGACTTGAGTCTTGGAAATGGGAAGTACAATGCCTGCCCTCTAAAGGAGGAGTTTCAGGATATTAGCAGTTTGGAGGGATATGTTGTGTATCTTTATACGTATATGCTTCTAAACTGTTGTGAGCACCTCTGCAAAAACAGTGATTGTGTGAGTGAGGTGAAAGTGTTGAATGATGAAAGTATTTTCTTTTTGGGGATTTTCTTTCTTTTTTGGGTCACCCTGCCTCGGTGGGTAGACGGCCGACTTGTTGAAAAAAAAAAAAATACTAGCAAAATAGCTAAGACTTTAGTAGACTGGAACAATGTAATTTGCCTAAAATAGGACTCGGTGGGCAAAATTGCAGACTAGTAAATATTGCCGACTCAGCAAAATTTGCGAGAAGGTAATTTCGTTAATTTTCCATAAAATTTCATACTTTGGTTTTATTACCTTCAGAAAAAAAAACTTAGTTTATTTTTTTTTTTTTTTTTCTTGGACACTGATAACAACTCTCAGATCAGGGGTCTGGACAATGAATGGGTAAACTAACTTGTACAACTTTCAATATAAAATTGTCCTAATGTAAGCTTTTGTTAACTAGCTTTGTCTGATTTTCAGAAAAATGAATGATATGCACCAGTGTGTAGTGAAGTACACAGAAAAGTGTAACGACCCTACACCCTCAAACATTCTGGACTCTCTGATAACACAAGTTTTGAAGGTGACACCTTGTTGGCAGACTAGCAGTGCTCCAACCTTGTCTTCAACTCAATACCTCTTGTCTCCCATGCTCACACTATTGGCTGCTGCACTAACTGCTGCTAATATACTTCTTTAAACATAGAGGCAAATATATCTGTACTGTATATTTGATTTGAAGATTGACTAAGGTATGTGATTGTAGATCTTTTGTGGGTGCACAGCTGATAGGCTTTGAAGTGAACACAATTTTAATAAAAGGTAACAAGGTTTTAAAAAGTAATAACCTCAGTCAGCAGTAACTATTTCGATGCTGTTTTATACATTCCTATACTTTTGCTAGATTTAGATTGAGTTCAGAATCTAACTGCCAAATAGTGGGTCTGTTTAATGTATTACTTGCAATACTATTAAGAACTTGTTGTACTTAAAATTAGTTTATTGGCTATTGTTCTGAGACAATGCTAAGTTTATTTTTTATCTCGCAATTTTGGTTAGTTTTCTAATTGAATTTGTGCCATAGATTTGCTAATTTCTCAATTGTTTTTTTAACTGGATAATTTTTAACTTGCTGCCATGTTGTAAGAAATCCTTAAGATTTGTTTAGTAAACACAATTTTTTTTTTCTATCTTGTATATTGAATATCCTTCCAAATCTGTTAAAGTACAGTATGGCAATTTAGTTTTTCATAGTGAATTCTTATGACTTTCCAAGAGTCCATTGTTGAAATAAGAGGATTGTTTGCAAGACTAGTAGTTAAACCTGGTCTGTCCTGTTAACTGTATTTTGGCACACTTAAGTCCTATGGTGTTTAGCTGACATTGCATATTTTCACCTTCAATGATGCCTTGATAAAGATAATTCATGAATTTTGCTAATAGCTTTTTAAGGGGGGGAAAGCATTTTTGCATAAAACAGTGAACAGCTGGAGAGCTAATGTAAAGATAGAGTAAAGAGTATGCAGTATATAGAAACACATTTCCCTGTAATTTACTTTTTTTTTTTTTTTTTGGGGGGGGGGGGGGTGTATAAGGATTTTTAAATTAAAGATTCTGATAATGGTAAAAAAAAAATTCCAGTTTGAAGATGTTCAGTTTTTCATACATTTCTTTAAAATTGTTTTGCTGTATTTTCTTAGTTTACACAACAGCCACACTGCTTAACTGTAAAGGTTAAGTGGGATATTTTGTAAGGTACTGTACTGTGCCTACAAATCAACATAATCCCAAAAAACCTGCATTATCTAGTACTGTATCTGTAACAATGGCAGCGGCTGTTGCCATGTGTCAGACTTGCTTAATTTACATGAGATAGTGTTGTGAAAGACCTTTAAGGATTATTTTCATTTATGTCTATTTATATTGAGCCAATAATAGTTAGGTAAATGTTAATAAACTTGCAAGATTTGCAAATGCCTGCTTTTCTTTGTAAAAATACACTAGAATAATGTTGATCATTTAGTGCTGCATGTAGTATAATGTAATGAGAATAAGAGCCAAACCTGGTGAACAGTATAATGTTCATGCTATAAGCAGCCTTCCATTTTTGTGGCAATTTGAAATTCTTGGTGGGAGGGGGGGGGGAGCTTTGCTTAAAATTAGTGACACTGCTGTTAAACTGAGATAAGAATGCATGTGTACTGTAGAAAGTTGTTTAATGCAGAAGTTACTGCTGTGGAAGTGTAATAGGGTACCTGTGTGAATGACAGTGGGAATAGATGTATGGGGAGGGGGGATGAAGATCACCAAACTTCTGAAAATGTAATAAGAAATAACATTGTGATGAATAAACAGTAAACTGGATTACTAGCACTTGGAACATTAGACCTGGGTGCAAATAACTCTGTAGCTGAAGCAACAGAAGAAATTACTTGGCTTTCTCTTCCTCTTTTTTTTTTTTTTTTTTTTTTTTAAACATTGTAATAGACAGATATTGCCATTTCATCTGTACAATCAAAACTAAACACCTAATCTCACAAGGGTTATCCATTCTTAGTTCTTACTTATAATAAGAAGGGTAGATTGAAAATGGTAATTAAAGGGATAGTTAAAATTTTTGGTAGTGGAGTGAGCAAGATAATGGACTGGGGAGAGTGGTTAGCTGGCTTAGAGGTTTAGTGTGTACCAGGTAGGATATGGTTGAGGTTTAATGTATGTTCATGTAAAGGCAGAACTTGTGATTACTGGTGAGTGTTTGTTGGGTCCTCCTGTTTTATTTGGAAATGGTAGCTAAAACTTTTCTTATTTCAGCTATGAAATCTTGTCACTGTTAAATTGCACTTCAGTTGTAAAGTTCATGATCCTATTCAGCAGCATGCTACAGTACATTACCAGTGTTAGGATTGGGTGTTTTATCATAGGTCTCAAGGCATGGGCACCTTTTTGAAAGGTAATGGTAGACCATTGACACTTTAATGTCTTCATATTAGTAACTATTTTTTTTCTACATGGGTATAGCTACTCCTTTATGCACCCCTATCCACAACACCTCAAAAATAATGTTTAAAAGCATTTTTATTAATATTTTTGTATACCTTTGCTATCTAGAAAAGTTGCGTAGAATCTATTGGTAAGAAATCATACTAAAACTGGTGTATATTTCTTTGACGAGATTGGCAGTTACTTAGATTGTAACAGTCTCCACTATAAGGTTCAAATATTTCAATATTTTTCCTTGACTGAATGACATAATTGGTGTACATATTTTTTTTAGGTGTTTCATATAATTTATTTTCCCTTTTAAAACTGTATTTGTAAGCTAGCTGTATTTACAGTATGTAAATAATAATGATGTACAGTAAATGATGTAAATTTGATATGTGAATGTAGCTTTAATTGCTTCATAAGTTGTCTGCTTGCATGGCTTGTTAGACCAGTGGCTGATAGGAGTGACAAAGCTGTTTTAGCCATTTTAATTTTCATCTCTTAAAGGTAATGTTGGTTGGCAAATGAATAGCACTTGCACTAAAGCTGTTATGGTGCTAGTGTAGTCACTTAAAATAAATATCGGGTAGGTAACTCCAAATGAGGCAAATAAATGCTTGTAAATTTTTACATATACTTGGGTTAATTACATACTAAAAGAATCTCTAATGTATAGTATATGCTTAACTAAACATGGCTCTAGCTATGCAGTATTTTGTGCTCGGCAAAATTAGTCTGTTTAGCCGAGCCATTTAAATAGCTTTACGTCAAAGAATACTCCTATTCCCTTCACCTTTTGACAGGTTTTTCCAATTGCATTTCTGTAAACCTCTGTTCCCTTCACCCTGTGTGTTGCTTAAGCATTGAATGTACTAAAAACCATGTAATGAAGTGATGTGCAACTAATGTCACCAGATCATGAGAGATTGAGACTTAAGTTTTAACACACCTTAAATTGCCTTGTAGATTTAAAGCCTAATTTGATTTCTTAAGATCTGTCTCCAGTGTGACTGGAAAAATATTAAAAGGTACCCTGTGAGCTATGTAGATGGTTAAATGCACCTTTTAATTTGGCATATTTCCAGGCTGAGCAAAAGAGATTTGGCATTTTGAGCCATTGCAAAATTTTAGCTTTTTTAGTTCATGCATGCAGCGCTGTATAGTCCTTGTGACTTAGCGCTTCTTTTTGATTATAATAATAATTTAGGTCATGCATTTATACTCTGCATAGCACTTGGTCTCTGCTAAAGATAGTTCTTAAATTGGTGACTAGGCTGTTTAAATTTAATTGTTACCTAGTAATAAATTAATCCAAATACTCTCAAACTAATACCTGCATATATTGGTTATGGTTTGTACTTATATCACTTGTCTTTTAACATGTTTGTAATGAAACTTGTATTTTATACTCTAACACGTGTTACTCCTAAAATGTACTGTGAACATTTACCCCACATTCTCATTAAAGTTAAGTTTATTAGATGTAAATTTTTGTCCTTTTATTACCGACAGATTGTGTGCACTGTCTTCTGTATAAAATTGTTCTAATAAACATTAATTTTTTTTTTTTTAGGGGAGGGGATTACTGTGCATAATGCCAGGGGGCTATATTGCAATGATCTTCAAATTGCAGTGAAGCTGCAAGTACACCTGCCTCTCAAATTTGATATAGATGCTAAGATTAATGTCTTGCAGTCTTCAGATTATCCATTTATTGGTAGACACTGGATGGCAAAAGTCTACAAAGTAGATAACCAGATGTTGCAAATACTCTTGTGTGGGTAAGATTTGTTGCCCTTTCAACTTTATTAATGAGTACTATTGAATTAGCAAGCATTAAACCCACATGACTTAAACTCGCTTAAATATAGTTAAAGGGATTTCACCTTTGGATTCTGTAGTCCAAATCATTGTTCCTAAGTAGTTAAGAAAAGACTTACTGAATACTTTTATTTGGATAATTCACTCTGGGTTGAACAAAAAAGCAAGCTTTATAATGTCTCGCTTCACTGTTGCTGTCCTGTGCAGCTGCCTCACCAGCCAATGCCTCATTATTACAGTAATCAAATAGTGCTAAACCTACAAGGGTCATACAGTGCCAGCCAATGCCTCGTAACCACAGAACCCATTTAAAGTTTAGAAATCTATAGTGTGAAATATTTCATGGAAGCATAATCTTGGGGGGGGGGGGGGGGAAGCCGCACCTAAAGCAGCTACTGTGGTTGGCTTGTGGTATTCATAGTTTCTGGCACAGCTAAGCACATGAAATAATTAAAATATTATTATTATAATCAAAAAGTCTTTAAATTTAAGCTTGTATACTTGGGGCTCCACCTCTGACACCACCATTATTACCACTATCGACACCACCATTATCACCACTACTGGTTATATTTTTGTCAGCAGATTTTATACAAACTTTGATTATACTTCCTCTAGCATTCTTCACCACCCTTACTAACTCTACCTCTGTTATACTCGACACTTGCTGGTCTCTGATAAGCATATTACACCTGTAGCACACGTTACCCTGCAGTGCTGTATGGCCCTTATGGGTTCAGTGCTTGGTTATGATTTATGCTTATATTTTGGCATTGTATTTTCATATGCCAAATATATTTGCAAGAAAAATTCATCCACATAAGTATATGATCATTCCAGTATCTGGTGCTGAAATTAACTTGTGGTCTGGTTCAAGTTTACAAATAGCCACAAAGAGGTCTGACATCTTGTCACTCGAGCTATCTTTTTAACATTCCTCATAGGTAGAGCTATAATAGTAAAAGTACTGGTGAAAGGGATTACTATAAATTTCTGTTAACACTCAAAATAATCTTTTAAATTCTACCTTAAAAATGGGATTGTGACCATTCTAACTGCATAACCTGTTAATTCTATTCATTATTAGTAGTCTTTGTCTGTACAGTGGAACCTTTGTACTCGAACAGCTCCCTACTCAATTCGGTATCCAAATGCTTTGTTTGGTAAAAAAAAAAAAATCGCTTGGCAGTTGACTGTTTGCTCAGCACACGACCTGCCAGAACTTTGCTGTAAACTTTCGTGTTTCTTCGCATTTTTTGGCGTTTGTAGGCCCTGGGGTGACTTATCGCTAATCTTTGTATTATAGTATTTGTATAACAGCCAACCAAAAAGACAATTGACTGAAAAAAATTCATTCGGTACTCGAACAGCCTTCTGGAACACTAACCCTTTCAGGGTCCAGAGGCCAAATTTCAAAGTGCACATCAGTGTCCAAGAATTTTCAAAAAAATAATTTTATTTTTTCTTATGAAATGGTAGAGAATATTTTTTTTTTTGAAGGTAATAAAACAAAGTACGAAATTTGATGAAAAATTGATGAAATTATGCTCTCGTGAATTTTGATGTCAGCGATACTTTGGCAGCGGCGATTTTGCCGACTTTGACTCCCATTTTAGACCAATTACCTTATTCCAGCCGACCAAATTCTTTGCTATTTCACTAGTATTACTTCTATTCTATCGATTGAGCACAAGAAATTGCCAACTGTTTCAATTACAAAATAGTGATTGGAAATTGGTAATTTGGCCAATTTAGTGCAAAGTTCAAAATATTCCAATTTCAAAATAGGGTCCAGAATAAATAATGCAGGCATTCCTGACACTAAACTAACATTTCCTCTGTTCATTAGTTACGTTTTCAGGCTTTACAAATGAATTCAATTTTGATTTTTAATTCACATAATGAATTTTTATTCAAGCCAAAAAATAGAAGATTGTCATGCAATATTGCAACAATTGTATAAATAATATCAGCACATTTGTGAACGTATATTAGACCCACCAGCTGGCGTGTATTAGACGTGTGAGGTCATTTGTTTATTCTTGAACATCGGCAAAAATTTAAGGGAGGGGCGAGCCTTTTTTCAGTGATCAAGGCATTAAAATTGAAAAATTATGGAAAAAAAGTTCTTACTGAAAAATAGTGCAAAACTCTGGCAACAGTTTGATGTAATCAGCTTGTTTCTAACCATGTTTTTCATTAAATGTATTTTTTTTTTTCTGTCAGCAAAAATACACGTTGGCAATTAGTTTTTTTTTTCTTCCCCAAATTACGATTTTTATGATTAATTAATTGTAAATACTCTACATGGCAACTTGTGTGCTGGCTAGTGTGAGGAGAGCAGACAGTAAGTCAGTCAGTAGAGAAGGTAGGAGGGGTGTAGCACGCTGAAAGTTGGCACGCAACTTCCCTAGAGTTCCACACAAAAATAAATAAACTCGGTAATAAGTTGACATTCTAATCCATTTTTTTTGATAAATATTCATTGGATTGTCTTGATTTTTGCAGACGTTATTGAGGAATGATGGTTCTACAAACACCCAGAGATGATTTGCCATATTGTGAACAGCTTTTTGTTAATGATTTTTTTTTTTTATGGAATCTACTGACATTATCGCTAAAATGCACTGGGTCATTATTAACCTATTCATCTGATGTCAACTAGAGCATTGTACATCTTCCCAATTTAGTAGAAATTGGAAGGCCTAGGACCCATAAAATTGTGCAAAAAAAAAACTATCTAACTTGAAGGCTAACAGTCAAAACAAACACAGCCTGTTTTTTTGAGCTGCTTAATCCACTGTCAAAATCCTATTGAAATCTGATCAAAAAAAAAAAAATGATTCTGCTCGCCCCTCCCTTAACATTTCTGCTAATTTGAGCTCGGTTTCAAGCCACTTTCAGTACTAAAGCCAATCAAAATCATCTCTTATTTCTGTAATATATCTAACATTCTATCAAATGAGACCAAGAAATCACAAATATAACTGTAAAGAACATACGAAAAAACACTGCAAAGTTGCTGTTTTAATAAAAAATTACGGTCTCGGTTTTCTCTCGTTATGCACTGTGTGCTGCAGGATTGTTTTTGTGGTGCACACATACCACATAGATGTATTCTCTCATATCCAGGCCCAAATTTACCGCTCACAGCTTATCAGAGTGAGCCGAGCTCATGGCGTAGATCTACGGCACGGACCCTGAAAGGGTTAAGTTCAACTACCAAGGTTCCACTGTATATGTTTGTTTCTAACTGGAGTAGTCTCGCTAAGTTTATATATACACATACACCAATTTTACATTCCATAATCTATTCATATATTAAAATGAGTGCAACTGTTAAAATTTACAATAGTGGTTACTTTTATGATTAATATGGCACAATGCTACCATACTCTTATGACAATGAAACGTTTGTACTAATACTGCGCAAAATACCCAAACTATGTGTGATAGATATATAATATGGAAAACATTCAGACAGTCTGCTGTCATGTCTTGGAGAAACTAGACTCGATGCTGTACTCTTGGTATGGATGGCTCACTGGGACATCTCATCAGAGGAGTCGGGTAAGGAGCCACTATAACCTCCACTAAGTTCATCTTTATCATGTCCATTCTCTTCAAGGGCAGCAGCTTCACATTCACTTTTTAATACACATTTTCCTATGTAAGCTTCCTCTGATGAATTAGTTGCTGCATCTGGAACATTTGAATACTGATAAAACACCCAAAAATTTTTTATTTCAAATTTTACATCACAATATAATATACTGTCTACATTTCATAAGTATTCCTTCAAAGTGTGTTGGGAGATGTGCAGGTTTTGAAAATGAATGATATCAAGGGATAGTCAGTGGCTCTATGCTGATGATCCTACTTCTGGAGATTCTGAAGAGAAAGTTGCTGTATGACATTTTTATTATGAAGAGAAAATAGAAAGTGTAGAGTTCTTAGTCTTGACAATGAAATACTGGATATCAGACTGGAGGGAAGGATATAGCAGAAGTGAATGTAATCAGACAGGACCATGAGAGAAGTCTGAATCAAAATACAGTGGTACCTCGAGATTTGGCCACCTCCCAACTCAAACAATTATTGTAAGTGCTTTTGTAAGTGTATTTTTGGGGGTCTGAAATGTATTAATCTAATTTACATTATTCCTTATGGGAACAAATTCGTTCAGTAACGGCACTCGAACAGCCTTCTGGAACGAATTATGGCCGAAACTCAGGGTTCCACTGTACTGTAGATAAGGAAAAAAAAATAGCTGTCATGCAGAATAGAAAGTTTAACAATGAATGCAAAAAAAGTTGAATGTACCAAAGTACAGTGGTGAAAACACTGTAGTCCAGCACTCAATGACCCTTGTGGGTTTAGTGCTTAGTTTTGAATTAAATAATAATGGGAGATTGGTGGGATGTGATTGAGTGGCAAGTCTGCATGTTCATTGGTTAGAGCACCAGTGTGTCCAGGGATCTAGCAAAAAAAACGACTTCTTTGTGCTCACTGAAATGTGGCATAATTACAGTTAAATATTAAGTACAATAGGACGTGGAGAGTCGAACTTTTAGATAAATCATAAAGGACTTTGGGAGTTTGTCTGCCTCTTCACACATTGTTTCACAGCTGCAATGTGTACAATCATGACACATACTGCAAATAACTCTGCTGTGAAAGTGGTGGCCAACTTTAGTAAATATCCTCGAAATATTCTGTCTGGAAAAATAAGTGGGTACCCTACTGCATCTAAAGATTTGGAATCGTCAGTGTACACGGCAGTAGTAGGAGCAAGTGACTGAAAGTGTTCAAGGACGGAAAGCTTTCTGATAGGGATAGGGGAAAGGAACAAAGCTGAATTATAAGAACATCCTGCAAAGGGAGGAAAAGTGATACAGGGTGGACATAAAAGGGTTAAATTAAGAGATGTTATCAGAGCTTGAAAGCAAAGACTGAAGGGCATTAACAATGAGGGTTGACAATTAAATAAATTAATCTTAGGGAAATCTGTGATCATTCTGTATGTAAGAGGATCATGAAAGTCAGGGAAGCAAACAAAACAATGAACTCAATGGGCATTGTGTTGATACTGCACAGACAGGATATTTATTAATACAGGCTCTCAGCCTAGGATGATTGAAAGACCCCCAGACATAACCATAATCCTTCATGATGAATGACTAAGTTTATTAAGAGTAGCTGAAGAATATACAGTACCCATAATACGGCTTAGACAAAATTTGGGTTGAATGAAGGCAACGAAGAACTTGTCTATTTGCTCCCCCAGAAAAATGGGCTACCAAACTACAGTCACCTCTGCTACAACAGGCAGTGTGTTATTTCATGGAAATTACCTCCCAGATGGCATCTCCAGAATTAACTGAGTAAGGGGTAGCAAAACCACTTGTTTGAGTGAACACTAATTGTGCAATCTTTAAGCCAATAATGGCAGCAGGCAAACCTGCATGAATGCCAGGAATCATACACCTTCAGTTTCTGCTCCTGGACCCAATTTTCATTGAGCGAAGTTACCTAGTCACCACAGCAAAAACAATGAAAGTTTTATTAAAACAGGGATGACATTGCTTCCTTGTCCTTCTATTTAGCAGCTCAATTTCATAAAAGGAAAATGAGGCCAAAAGGAGAATGTCTGGGGGTACAATACAGTATTTAAATTTGATCTGAGGAATGGGGAAAAAAAAGGGTGGTCCACTTCCTCAGATGAAGAGTCCCTTCACCAAGGCAATGCTACCCCTCCCCAGTCCTCCCTCTTAAAGAGGAATATTACTTTATAGCAGATAGAAGTGTTTCTTCTTTTTTGGGTCACCCTGCCTTGGGAAATGGCCAATGTATTAACCCTTTCAGCATCCAGACCTTTGATCTGTAATCTTCAAAAGGATCAATACGACATTTTCAAAGAAAATGCATAAAGGTTAGAGATCTTTTTCTGAACGGTTTAACCACACAGTATGAAATTTCATGTCGAAAACATGAAAGTACGTACGTAGAGATGTGGCGATGTAATAGTATCACCAATTTCCGACTATGGACTCTTTTCCAGGCCAATACACTAATTTCCAAGTTGATAGAAATTGTTAATTTGCTCAATTTACACCCCCATTTCTGGATTCGCAGAATAAACTGATGCAGGCAATTCTGGCACTAAAATAAATGTCTCTGTTGCATCATATGTTTCCAGCCTTTGATCATAATTTTCCACAGTTAAATTTTTCACAAAAGAATTTTTGTTATTTCTCATGAAAAATAGAAATTCTGTTTTGAACAGTTGATAAAAAAAATAATATCAAATGATGCAAAATCGACGAAACCGCACCAATTGATTGTGTATTGATTTTTTTTTTTTTGTTTTTTTAAGCGGGCCGTTCACGTTGCCCGTGACCAGAAATAAGAAAGTAAATTCGGCCAACAACAAAATTTCAAATAGATCCAGATACACAATCGCACATTTCCTGGCAAGTCTAAATAACAGTCTGAAGCATCATTATAGTTATACAGCATATCTAACATGAATTCCATTTTAATATTGTTACTTCCCAAAATTTTGATCACACCGAAATATAGAAAATTACCCGTTTTGAACCCTTGTAAATATTGTAATCAACAATCGTCAAGTCCAAGTTCCAATGCCCCTATTAAAAGCCACGCCAATTGTGGTGTATTAGATGCGTGATGTAATTTGTTTACTCTTGAAAATCAGCAAAAATCGAATATTTCTGCTACTTTGAGCTCAATTTCAAGCTATTTTCAGTCCTAAAACCGATCAAAATCTCTCTGTAATATATCTTACATTCTATCAAATGAGACCAAGAAACTGTGAATACAATCATAAAAACCATATGAAAATCTGCAAAGTTGCAGTTTTAAACTAAAAACATGGTTGCAGTTTTTTTTCTCATTATGCACTGCGTGCCACAGGATTTTTTGTATGGTGCACACTTACCACACGGACCCATTCTCTTATATCTAGGCCCAAGTTTACCACTCAGCTTACCTAAGTGAGCTGAGCTCATCACTATGGCATGGATCCTGGCTTTAAACTGTTAGAACAATGGCACAGACCCCGAAAGAGTTAATAAAATAGGAATTATAAAAACTGGAAAAGGATAACTCCTTACCACTGGTTGCTTCAATCAGCTCTTCTTGACCCTCTCTTGGAACAGCTCCTTCAGCTATCACTTCTTCAACCTAAGACACAGCAAACAATTAGTTTTTTACATAGAAGTTTCAGTTTAGGTGGGTAACAGAATGTAACTAACCCTCACCTGAATGTTACATACAGTACACTATCTTCCAAGTCTATATTTCCTCTAATATACCCTGCTCAACAACCGTTGTGGGTTTAGTGCATAGTTCTCATGCACATAATAATACATTTTCTGTGTGCAAAAGGCATACACTAAGTACATATATCATATTTTTATACATAAATGGTTGTAAGAAAGTGCATTTTCTGGGAGAATATATTGGTTTTATGAAGTATACCATAAGGAAAAGCTTTAAGTGCTTTATGCTGAAAGTGTGTTACTCATTAGAAAGGTTACAGTCTGATATTTGATAGAATGATGCATCCATAAGTAAAGCAAATGAATTAATGTAATGTAATGTATTCTGACACTGTGTAGCTCATCTAAGTTTAATGCTTTCTTATGAATGTAATAATAATAATACTAATCATCAATGCACTGGCTGAAATATTTACAGGCAGGCCCTGCTTATATAGCAAGTTAGGTTCCGGGCTACTGCTGTAAAGCAAAAATTGCTGTAAAGTGAAGCATAGCCTTTTTTTTAACTTTCAAATGCATATAAAAGCTTGATGACATGTTTGCACTATCATATATTAAATGAGCAATAGAGCTAGGGCTAAAAAATGCATATACGGTACAAACAGCACTTACCTTAAAATATTTTCATTCTAAGCTTATAGTGAGTGGTGAATATATTTATTGTAGGAAGTCTGAATAAATAAAGAATGCGTATAATTGAAAACATGCATTAGCAAAACATGCTAAAATGAAGCACTGTAAAGCTGGGCCTGCCTGCACTCAGGAATGAGAAAAGAAAAAAAAAAAAAAAAAGGGCAAAGCAATAAACAGTATAATTTCCTCTTTATAACACAGTACTGAAGTAGCAGAGATAACCCCAAGGAAGGATCCTATGGCTGTAAGACTTAGCAAAGATAAAGGCAAAGACAAACTATGCATCACCTGATTCGACAAAGAGACAGCCGTGCCAGGAGAGGTTTCCACAGGTTTTTCCACTGCCTTACTCCGCTGCCAGGAGGGGATGGATGGTGCCATGCCTGGGGTGGATGGAAATGTCCGCCTAGGGTGTAGGAAACAAATACCGTACTGTTATTACAGATTATTTTTTACTTTGCCTTTATTATAAACAATATGCACGTGAATAAATATTTTTTTAACATGCTAGCCGTCTCCCACCAAGGCAAGGTGATCCGAAAAAGAAGCCTTTTTCACCATCATTCACACTATCCCTACCTTGCCAGAGGCATGCAGATGTGACAGTAAAACTAATTAAGTAAAAATTGTTCAGCAAGTTAATGTTTTGTGGATCAAAAACAAAATTTGTTTCTTTTATTAAAGTGTCACATAAAATATATGAACATTCTTAGAGAAGTAATAAATCACAAAACAGTATAGTACAGTCCAGTGTATTGTTTACCTTACCGATTGATGAGAAGACCCTTGAGGGAGGCAATCTCTCCCTTAAGTTGGTCTAGCTGCTTGGGTGTCACATTAACTTGGCTTTCTTCTCTAAGACTAAGGGTCTGAAAGCAATAACTGATTAAGAATATTTGTTGTCATATAACAATAAATTCCAGATAAGATGTCCGAAACCTGAGCAAAGCCATTACAGCTTTCCACAGTATTGGCGGGGTTTGAACTCACAATGAGCGAGTCATAAAACTCCAGACCGACGCGTACCATGGTTTATTTGCAATCGTGTCATTACGATTTCGTAAGCCATTAGGACTTTGCTCAGGTTTCGTGCACCTTGTCTGAGTGGTATATTGTACTGAATGACAGAGGAGGGGAAAGAAATAGCTTAGTTCTCTGAATATTGATAAGTGCACATGCTTGAATATGAAAAACTAGAATTACTATATTCTCTTTTACACAAATGGAACAGAGGTTTGCAAATACAGTTAGCAGACATTTGCTGAGGGGAACACAAACACACACATACTCATCACTTTGTATTTCATACTATGCACTCAGGTGTACTAATTCTCTAAAATTCCAAATTTTTAAGTCTTTTTTTTTCAAATTCTGATATCTTAATGACTGTTATTGCATATCAACAATAATTTCTGCTGCCAATGACAAACCTAATTTAATTTAAATTTTGACCTACACACATTCAAAAATTTTGCACATAAGGTCAACATAAACCCACCTGGATGCGAACATTCTGGGCCCTAAGTGTCTGTTCCAAAGAGGTCAAAGTAGTCTGGACCTCTTTCAACACAGTTACTACCGAATGTTGAAGTTCTATCATGCTCTCTTCGACTGTCTTCTGACGTCGTCCTGTCAACCAAGGACCCAAGTATTTCTGTGGGAAGAATACTGACAAATTCAATAAAGATTCTACAGATATTTATGAGCTGAAGTTGCAGGAGCCATACAGGACTTGGGAAATGGGAGTCAATTAGGTATGATCTAAGGAAAAGGTGGGTAGCTCTAATTCCTTAGATCAAGAGCCATCTATAACATCAAGGCACTCCCACTGAAAGGTGCTATTTACCTTTAATTATTGATTCCAGTGAAAGCAAAACTGTCAAACAAATCATTAAACTCCTTGATTCTATGCAAAAATCTATCTGTCATCCTCTTAAATATTTAAATATTGCACACAAGGCAAAACTGGACAAACGGATTGTGCCCACACTTCTGAGAAGAGTTCTTACCTGATATAAATGGTATACACCATATGAAGTTCCCATTAATATGAGGACAAAGTTACAAACATCTCTCAGCCTTATCCACATAGATGGAGGCGGTGGAACCATATAGGGAGAAACAGGGATCCCCGGGTATGAGCCAGGATGGGACATCACATTGCTTGTTGCCACATCCTATAATGTAACATACAGTATTTTGGAATTTCGAACATTGTAATTGAATCAGTTAATGTTTCTGCACATTCTAATACACATTTTAATTACCATAAAGTGATGTCATTTTATTAGCAAGCATGATTATATGTATGCCTTCATTCCAGGTTAGCAACAACAACAGTTCCACAAACCGCAGGTGCAATTGTCTTGGCCTTAGAGAATGCTGCTTGGATCTCAGCATCTGTTAAGCCTTTCTTGTGCAGAAAAGCAGTTTTCTGCTCATCTGCATGATTCATAACTTTGGGATTCAGTAGAAACTTGGCAGCTTCATCCACCTAGAAAAAAGATGAAAAATCATACATACTGTATAATTTTTGAATACCATACTGATAATTTATATACAGTATATAAATAAAATATAACACAATATGTAAAGTAAAAGGACACAAGTGCAGCTAATGTGACATTTTATTGTGGCAACGTTTCGCTCTCCAGGAGCTTTGTCAAGTAGCGGCTTGACAAAGCTCCTGGAGAGCGAAACATTGCCACAACAAAATGTCACATTAGTTGCACTTTTTTCAATTCAATTCAAGTTTATTCTCTATAAGAGTTACAATGTGGGGTTTACAAGTTTTGGGTATTGTGTGGTTTACATGTTATAAAATATACTAATTACAGAGGGGGCCACTGGGACACCTAGCCTGGCTAGGCATTTCGAGCAGACTTAGATTAACTCTTAACATAAATCCTTACAGATTATGGTATTAAGGCTAAGTGACTACATCATAATTTGTGAGTTTAGCAATGTGAATGCTTTTGTTTTGGCACAATACAAAGTGTCTATATTGGAGTATCATAGGCAAACTTATGACTAGTTAGGATTTATTATTTTAAGATTAAGATTAGTATTTCTGGGTTTATAGTCAGTGGGTGAGTGAGTGTAATTGTGAACCACCAGGTGGTTATCATGTAGTTAGTTGTCGGGGTGGATCAGGGATATAAGATGTTTTCTAACTGTAGTTTTGAAAGTGATGAATGTGTCTGCAGTTCTAGAGTTTTCAGGTAGGGTGTTCCAGATTTTAGGTCCTTTGAAATACATTGAATTTTTGTAAAGGTTTAGGTGTCCTTTTAGTTTACATATTGTCGGTAATTCTACCAACTTTATTACAAAATATAACACAATTTAAACAAACACTACATGTAAGCTAATATCAGAATATATTCTTTTCATTATGAAACTATTACCCAGTTACATAGAAATGTAAAAAATTAAAAAAGTTCTTCTTTCAGTCACTGTCAATTGCTCATCTTCCTATCTTTCTCTCTCATTTTCTTTTTCATTTACCACCCTGAGTTACAAATACAAATGGAAGCTAATAATGTACAGTAGCCTAGTATCATACCAGTTTCTGGCGGAATGCCTGTGGTTCGTGCATAGTGTCACCACTCATGTCTGCCTCATGGTCTGGGGAAATAAAAAAAAAATTAAGATTTACACCAGCAAACCATTGGTGTCACCAACAGATTGAATTGTGTTGACCTAATAGTTCATTGTTACTCATAACTTTTATAAGTAATGTGGGAGAACACAAATAATAAGATAGTATAATAATATCTTTATCTCTACAAGTACATGTACAAGGTATACAGGCCTAGCTGACATCAATGACATACTACTACAGTGGTACCTCGAGTTTTGAACAGCTCCCAACTCAAACAATTATGTAAGTGAATTTTTGTAAGTGCTTTTGTAAGTGTATTTTTGGGAGTCTGAAACAGACTAATCTAATTTACAATACTCCTTATGGGAACAAATTCGTTCGGCATCGGCACTCAAACAGCCTTTGGGGATGAATTAAGTTCGTAACTCAAGGTACCACTGTATATAGAAAGCCCCTTGTTATGCAGAGCATTTCAGGCAAATTAGGTCAGTTTTTGTCCCAGGATGCGACCCACACCAGATGACTAACACCCAGGTACTCATTTTACTAATGGGGAACATAGACAACCAGTGTAAAGAAATACGCCCAATGTTTCTACCCTCGCCGCAAAATTAATATTGATTTTTATCGGTTTTATTGGGATTTTTTAAAAAGTGTAAAATATAGGTAAATCTCGAAAAATCTTCGAAAATCATATTTTTTGGCATATATCGATGATTCAGGGATTTTTCAAAGATTTTTTTGAAAAACATCAAATTTTCAAACCCAGTCCCTTGCCATGTGATGCAAGAGCTTTAGCCACCAGGCCACAGGGCATGGGGCAAAGGTTATTTATGCAGTAACTCTGTATGTAGAGAGCAGAACCCACTTACATTAACACATTTGCACAAATCTGTTGGATAATATAGTGATCACACTATAGACCTGTTTTCTGAGAAATGTACAAAAAATACTGGAAAAAAAATCTTTAGAGGAAAGTGGGTAAAACCAGCCTACTAACTAGTCAACAAGTTGGCTTTCAGTCTGATAATTACATTATATTAAGTCTATTAAGCTATTATGACTGAGTCACACGAAATATCCAAGAAAAAATGAATGAGTAGACTGTTTACACTACCTAGATTTTAAAAAAAAGCTTTTGATGGATTTCCCCATGAGCAACTAATTTGGAAACTTCAAAACATAAGAGGAATAAAAGGCAAATTATGAAAATAAATGACAGATTATGCTTGAAAAGAAAATGCAAACAGTGATAAAAAGGATACAGTGGACTCCCGCATAACGATCACCTCCGAATGCGACCAATTATGTAAGCGTATTTATGTAAGTGCGTTTGTAAGTGTATGTTTGGGGATCTGAAATGGACTAATCTACTTCACAATATTCCTTATGGGAACAAATTCGGTCTGTACTGGCACCTGAACATACTTCTGGAGTGAAAAAATATCGTTAACCGGGGGTCCACTGTACATGTTATTTTGGAAAATGACACGAGAATTTGTATTTGCACAAATAATGTTTTTAATTTATAAATACCACATGCAATGGTAAACTAGAATAGTATATGAATTTGTTTATGAATGATGCAAAAATGATATGTAAAATAAATAATAAAAATGACTGTAAATCTTTATAAGATGATTTGGATATACAGTATTGAGGAAATGGATTGACAGATGGATGCCGGGGATTGAACCATGGACACTCAGCAAGTGAAGCAGTGGTGGCTCATGTATAGGCACTGCGGAACTGCAGCACCCCCTATTTTCACTCGATATTATCGATAACATTCAATATAACGAGTCTTTTTTTTTCTTTAATTTTTTCTTTATACAGTACTTGTATATTATATAATCCTAAAGCTTAATATCAGTTGCCATCCCCTAGTACATGAAAAAATTACAAAAATCTTCGTACGGAACTGTGCACCTCACAGTTTCAGTAACTCAGTGTTTGGCTGTTGTGTACATGTGCATATGTCTGAGATAAGATGCTGCATGCTAGGTAGAGAGATCACTGTCACTGATGCAGTGCTGACCCTGTTGTGCAAGTGTAAGGTAGTGTTTCTTTTTGACTCAGCGACGTGTGTTGTGCTTAAAAACCATGTACCATATTCTTGAATGTGATAAAGTGTAGAATTAGACGATTATCATGCTTCCAGCTAATTTATTTAATTTTGTTTATGATTTTATCAAGCTTATGTATAAACTTTCTTTTTATATGCTTGTTTTGTTTTACACAATATTACAACAATGGCTAAAAATATTCTGAAGCAGCACCTCCACTAATTTTAGCTATGAGCCACCACTGGAATGAAGCAAAAAGCATTGCCAACTGAGCTATGGAAGGCAGTGTGACTGGAGGCAGTGTAACTGGAGGCAATGTAATTGGAGACTGGATGCAGCGGTACTGAATGCAGCATGACTGGAGGCAGTGTTGCTGGAGTCAGTGTCACTTGAAGCAGTGTCACTGGAGGCAGTGTTACTGGAGTCAGTGTGACTGAAGGTAGTGTGACTGGAGGCAGTGTGATGGGAGGCAGTATGGCAGAAGGCAGAATGGCAAAGGTAGTGTGACTGGAGGCAGTATGGCAGAAGGCAGTGTGATGAGGCAATATGGAAAAGGCAGTGTGATTGGAAGCAGTATGACTAGAGATAGTGTGACTGGAGTCAGTATTACTGGAGTAGTGTGACTGGAGTGAGTATGACTGGAGCAGTATGACTGAATGCAGTATTGCTGGAGCAGTGTGACTGGATGCAGTATGACTGGAGCAGTGTGATTGGATGCAGCATTATTGGAGTGGTGTGACTGGAGTCAGTATGACTGGATGTGGTATTACTGGAGCAGTGTGACTGGATGCAGTATTACTGGAGTGGTGTGACTGGAGTCAGTATGACTGGATGCGATATTACTGAAGCAGTGTGACTGGATGCAGTATGACTGGAGCAGTGTGACTGGATGCAGTATAACTGGATGCAGTATGACTGGATGCAGTATGACTGGAGCAGTGTGACTGGAGTATGTCTGGATGCAGTATTACTGGAGCTGTGTGACGAGTGAGTATGACTGAAGCAGTATGACTGGATGCACTATTACTGGAGCAGTGTGACTGGATGCAGTATTACTGAAGTGGTGTGACTGGAGTCAGCATGACTGGATGCGGTATTACTGGAGCAGCGTGACTGGAGTATGGCTGGAGCAGCGTGACTGAAGTCAGTATGACTGGGCATAGTACTGCTGGAGCAGTGTGACTGGATGCAGTATTACTGGAGAAGTGTGACTGGAGTGAGTATGACTGGATGCAGTATTACTGGAGCAGTGTGATTGGAGTATGACTGGAGCAGTATGACTGGACACAGTATTACTGGAGCAGTGTGACTGGACGCAGTATGATTGGACGCAGTATTACTGGAGTGGTGTGACTGGAGTGAGTATGACTGGACGCAGTGTTACTGGAGCAGTGTGACTGGATGCAGTATTATTGGAGTGGTGTGACTGGAGTCAGAATGACTGGATGCAGTATGACTGGAGCAGTGTGACTGAAGTCAGTATGACTGGGCACAGTATTGCTGGAGCAGTGTGACTGGATGCAGTATTACTGGAGCAGTGTGACTGGAGTGAGTATGACTGAAGCAGTATGACTGGACACAGTATTACTGGAGCAGTGTGACTAGAGTATGACTGGAGCAGTATGACTGGGTGCAGTATTACTGGAGCAGTGTGACTGGATGCAGTATTACTGGAGCAGTTTGACTAGAGTATGACTGGAGCATTATGACTGGACACAGTATTACTGGAGCAGTGTGACTAGAGTATGACTGGAGCAGTATGATTGGGCACAGTATTACTAGAGCAGTGTGACTGGATGCAGTATTACTGGGGCAGTGTGACTGGAGCGGTGTGACTGGAGTCAGTATGGCTGGATGCAGTATTACTGGAGCAGTGTGCCTGGTGTGAGTATGACTGGAGGCAGTGTGACAGGAGGCAGTATAGAAGAATGCAGTATAACTGGAGCAGTGTCGGGTACTTCACTTGCATTCCTATACACTTCGAGATTACACATACACCAAAACAGGCCGTCCAATTCATTCTATTGACGACATTAGAGCACTCCAGGATGATTTGAATAACTGATGACACCTAAAATGGAGAAGTATAGCAAACAATGTTTTAGCAGAGATCACCCCTGGAGGTAGCTCAGATGAAAATTCACACACACACGAACTATTAAATCTCTGCACCAAATTCACCTTAAACCAGGAAATAGTGGAGCCTACAAAACTAGAAAATACACTGGACCTCATCTTCACTAACAATGACGATCTGATACGTAATATAACTGTATCGAAGACAATACACTCAAATCACAACATAATAGAGGTACAGACATGTATGCACAGGGTTCCTGACCAGCAAAATGTGAGCAGTCATGAAGGTCTATTCACAAAATTCAATTTCAATAACAAAAACATACAATGGGACTAAGTAAATCATGTCCTAAATGATACAAGCTGGGAAGATATCCTAAACAACACGGATCTGAACATTTGCCTTGAAAAATTAATTATGTAGTTCTTGAGATCTGCTCAAGACACATTCCATTAAGAAAAAGAAAGAGAAGATGTAAACTAGAAAGAGAGAGAGACGTTCCCTATAAAGACAAAGGCGAAGTCACTGAGTCGCTGAGTGGGGCCAATATATCTGAAATATGAAGGGAGACACTAGTCAATGAAATTGCAAATATCGAACTTAAGCTGAAGGAATCTTACAGGAGACAAGAATCACAGGAAGAACTAAAAGCCATAAAGGAAATTGAAAAATAAATACCAAAATACTTCTTCTCTGATGCCAAATCTAAGGAAAAAACAACATCCAGTATTTGGCTCCTGCTTAGGCAGAATGGGACATACACAGATGACAGCCAAGAAATGAGTGAGATACTAAAGTCCCAATATGACTCAGTGTTCAGCGAGCCACTGCCCAGACTAAGGGTCAACAATCCAAATGAATTCTTTATGAACAAAACCCAAAATTTGGTCATCTCAAAAATCTCGGATATTATTCTAACTACACAAAACTTCGAAGAGGCAATAAATGGCATGCCCATGCACTCTACCCCAGGCCCAGACTCGTGGAACTCAGTGTTCATCAAGAATTGCAAGAAGCCCCTAACGCGTGCCTTCAGTATTTTATGGAGAGGGAGCATGGACACAGAGGTCATCCCACACACACTAAAAACAACAGACATAGCCCTACTCCACAAAGGCGGCAGTAAAGCAATTGCAAAGAACTACAGACCGACAGCACTAACATCCCATATCATAAAAATCTTTAAGAGGGTTCTAAGAAGCAAGATCGCCAACCACCTAGATACCCATCAATTACACAACCCCGGGCAACACAGGTTTAGAGCAGGTCGCTCCTGCCTGTCCCAACTTCTGGACCACTATGACAAGGTCCTGGATGCTGCGGAGGATAAACAAAATACAGATGTAGTATACACAGACTTTGCAAAAGCTTTTGACAAGTGTGACCATGGTGTAATAGCACACAAAATGTGTGATAAAGGAATAAGAGGAAAAGTTGGTAGATGGATCTATAACTTCCTGACAAATAGAACACAAAGAGTAATAGTAAACATAGTAAAGTCCCAGGCAGCCATGGTAAAAAGCTCTGACTTTTTTGGGTTATCCCAGGTTCTCTACACATATGCTGCTATGTATGATAATTCTATGTAACTGTATTTGTGTATACCTGAATAAACTTACTTACTTACTTACTTACACAAGGCACAGTACTCACTCCCATTCTATTCCTCATCCTCATTTCTGACATAGAGATGTAAGCCATAGCTCCATGTCTTCCTTTGAGGATGACACCTGCATTACTATGGCAGTGACCTCCATCAGCAACACTGCGAAACTCCAAGCGGACATCAACCAAATCTTCGATATGGGCCACTCAAAACAACATGAAGTTCAATGAGGAGAAATTTCAACTACTCAGATATGGGAAACTTGAAGAAATTAAAAATGTATCAGGGTATATGACGAATTCTAACCATACAATAGAGCGGAAAAGTAATGTGAAGGACCTGGGAGTGATAATGGCAGAGGATCTTGCCTTCAAAGACCACAACAATGTATCTACCTCATCTGCTAGGAAAATGATAGAATGGATAATGAGAACCTTCAAAACTAGGGATGCCAAGTGCATGATGATTCTCTTCAAATCACTTGTGCTCTCTAGGCTGGAATACTGCTGTACACTAATGGCCCACCTCAAGGCTGGTGATACTGCAGACCTGGAGAGTATACAAAGAACTTTCATGGCACACATAAGTACGACAAGGCACCTAAACTACTGGGAACGGTTGAACGTCCTTGATCTGTATTCCCTCAAACACAGGCGAGAGAGATACATGATAATACACTTGGAAGGTCCTGGAGGGATTGGCACCAAACCTACACATGAAGATCACTCCCTATGAAAGCAAAAGACTCGGCAGGAGGTGCAACATTCTCCAGATGAAAAGCAGGGGCGCCACGAGTACAATGAGAGACAACACAATAAGTGTCCGGGGCCCCTGACTGTTCAATTGCCTCCCAGCATACATAAGGGGGATTATCAATAGACCCCTGGCTGTCTTCAAGAAGGCACTGGACAGGCACCTAAAGTCAGTACCTGACCAACCGGGCTGTGGTTCATATGTCAGCTTGCGTGCGGCCAGCAATAACAGCCTGGTTGATCAGACCCTGATCCACCATGAGGCCTGGTCTCAGACCGTGGGGGCATTGACCCCCAAAACCCTCTCCAGGTCGAGGTAAACTCCAGGTGGTCAGAAAAGTGGTGGATGCAGTTCATTATAAACAAATGCAAAGTTCTAAATGTTGGACAGCAAAATAACCATGCCACATATAAACTAAATAATGTAGATCTTAACATTACTGATTGTGAAAATGATTTCAGCATTCTGGTTAGCAGTAATCTGAAATCAAGACAACAGTTCATAAGTGTTTGCAATAAAGCTAACAGAATCCTTGGTTTCATATCAAAAGATATAAGTAATAGAAGTCCTCAGGTTGTTCTTCAACTCTATATATCTTTGGTTAGGCCTCATTTAGACTATGCTGCTCAGTTCTGGTCACTGTATTACAGAATGGATATAAATGCTCTGGAAAACATACAAAGGAGGATGACAAAGTTGATCCCATGTATCAGAAATCTTCCCTATGAGGATAGACTGAGGGCCCTGAATCTGCACTCTCTCAAAAGGCGTAGAATTAGGGGGGATATGATTTAGGTGTATAAATAGAAAACAGGAATAAATAAAGGGGATGTAAATAGCATGCTAAAAATATCTAGCCTAGACAGGACTTGCAGCAATGATTTTAAGCTGGAAAAATTCAGATTCAGGAAGGATACAGGAAAGCACTGGTTTGGTAATAGAGTTGTGGATGAGTGGAACAAACTCCCAAGTACTGTCATAGAAGCTAAGACACTGTGTAGTTTTAAAAACAGGTTAGATAAATACATGGGTGGGTGTGGGTGGGTGTGAGGTAGACCTGACTAGCTTGTGCTACTAGGTCAGATGCTGTGCTCCTTCCTTAAGTGAATGTGACCTGACCTGATTAGGTTAGAGCGTTGACTTAAGCCGGTAGGAGAATTGGACCTGACTCGCATGGGCCAGTAGGTCTGCTGCAGTGTTCCTTCTCTCTTATGTTCTTATATAAAATACTGAGAGGAATCGACAAGGTGGACAGAGACAGAATGTTCCAGAGACACAGCAACAAGGTGACACAGTTGGACGTTGAAGACACAGACGAATCACAGGGATGTTAGGAAGTATTTCTTCAGTAACAGAGTTGTCAGGAAGTGGAATAATTTGGGAAGTGATGTAGTGGAGGCAGGAGCCATACATAGCTTTAAGAAGAGGTACGATAAAGCTTATGGAGCAAGGAGAGAGAGGACCTAGTAGCGGTCAGTGAAGAGGTGGGGCCAGGAGCTGAGTCTCGACCCCTGCAACCACAAATAGGTGAGTACACACACACACAAACACACACACGTAGGTTGCTAATCTGGATCCTCCTATCAAGAGTTAAAAATGTACACTGGGGATAGTGAAGAACTTACTGGAAGGAAGGAATCTTCAGTATCAGTGACAGTCATTAGTGCCAGTATTAGTGCCAGTATCAGTGCCAGTATTAGTGACAGTATTAGTGCCAGTATCAATTCCAGTATCAGTGCCAGTATTAGTGCCAGTATTAGTGCCAGTATTAGTGCCAGTATCAGTGCCAGTATTAGTGCCAGTATTAGTGCCAGTATTAGTGCCAGTATCAGTGCCAGTATTAGTGCCAGTATTAGTGACATTATTAGTGCCAGTATCAGTGACAGTATCAGTGACAGTATCAGTGCCAGTATTAGTGCCAGTATTAGTGCCAGTATCAATGCCAGTATCAGTGACAGTATCAGTGACAGTATCATGTCAGATATGCCAGTTTATGCCAGTATCAGTGCCAGTATCAGTGCCAGTATTAGTGCCATATTGTGCCAGTATTAGTGCCAGTATTAGTGCCAGTATTAGGCCATATCATGACAGATCAGTGCATATTAGTGCCAGTATAGTGCAGTATTAGCCAGTAATAGTGCCAGTATTATGCAAGTATTAGTGCCAGTATCAGTGACAGTATCAGTGCCAGTATTAGTGCCAGTATCAGTGACAGTATCAGTGCCAGTATTAGTGCCAGTATTAGTGCCAGTATTAGTGCCAGTTTATGCCATATGTGCCATATTAGTGCCAGTATTAGTGCCAGTATCAGTGACAGTATCAGTGCCAGTATTAGTGCCAGTATTAGTGCCAGTATTAGTGCCAGTATTAGTGCCAGTACCCCTGCCTCTGTCGTTCTTCACAGTAATGATTACTATCAAAAATATAAAGTTTCTCCCAGGATAAACTACGCCACAATGGAAATAAGTAAATTTTGGATTTTTTGGGGGGTTATCCTTGGTAATTTATACAAAAGTTACTGTGTAAGGTATTTGTAATCACTCAAAGCTTGTATAATTGTACTATTTAACTGTAGCTAAATAAACTTAAGCAGTTCCTGTTACTTGCAAGTTGTGGCAGACAAGCAGTGTTAACACACCACCTGAGACGCCCAGTACTGTGTTAACAGTTAACTTATGACAGACTAACCAAGACTAGCTCATATAAGTCAGACATGTCTCCAAAGTTAATGTTTCAAGAATTAAAAAAAAAAAAATAGAATAATGTGGCTGTATCTATGTATCAGCTGAGTCACCTTGTTGTTGTTGGGTTATAAGGGTGACACAGCTTGTGTGTTGCTGGCTGCTTCCTCATGTACTGATAACACTTATTATCCACACCTGATACATGAAATAAATAAAATAAAATAAAATATTTATTTCTTTGCTAAGGTTATAATGTGTGTTTACATATAATAATAATAATAATAATAATAATAATAATAATAATAATAATAATAATATTAATAATAATAATAATAATAATAATAATAATAATAAATCTTTATTTACAGGTACATGTACAAAGTATACAGACCATAATTGACATCAGTGACATACTACTATATAGAAAGTTCCTTGTTATGCACAGCATTTCGGGCAAATTAGGTCAGTGTCCCAGGATGCGACCCAGACCAGTCGACTAAAACCCAGGTACCCATTTTACTGATGGGTGAACATAGACAACAGGTGTAAAGAAACGCACCCAATGTTTCTACCCTGGTTGGGAATCGAACCCAGGCCCTCGCCGTGTGAAGCGAGAGCTTTAGCCACCAGTTACTTATGTAACTGTAGCCAAGTGTACCTGAATAAAAATTTACTTACTAGCTGTCACTGGCCTTTATATCCCACAACAAGAGAAAGAGACGTGAACACTACACGTTAGTTACTAGTGTAGTTATCTCCAGCAGGTGGGGCTGTGTAATACACTTTTACACTGGACCAGCCATCAACACCATCTCTAACTAATAGTAGGTAACCTAAAATACACTATATACATCGACACTGTATTTGAGTCATTTTATTGTTCAGTTTATAATCATCAGGAGAGAATGCTAAGTTATCTGGACGTATATACTGTAAGGAATAAGGTAATTAATACTACTAAGTTAACTGGATGGATATACTAACTGGAAGAGGATAAAGAATCTAAGTTAATTGGATGTATATACCGTATGAAAGAAAGTAATTAATACTACAAATTGGATGTATATACCGTTTGGAAGAAGGGAAAGAATCCTAAGTTAACACAGTAAGTTAACAGGATGTATATACCGTATGTAAGAAGTAACCTGGCAGAATACATGGATGCAAGAAGATAAACATTTTGTTTGGATTATTAACCCATGATGTCACAGAGGATGATGATTTTTAGATTATTAACCAGAGGGAGGGCTCGATCCCCGGCAAGGGTGGAAACAGTAGGCGTCTTTCCTTACACCTGTTGTCCTTGTTCACCTAGCAATTATGTAGATACTTGGGTGTTACTCAACTGGTTTGGGTCGCATCCTGGGGGAAAAGATTTAACGGCCTCAATGAAAATAAGAGTCCTCGATGATGCACTGACTTTCTTGGGTTATCCTGGGTGGATAACCCTCTGGGGTTAAAATTCCCAACAAAATCCTATCTTAGGCACTCAGGATAACCCAATAAAGTCAGTGCATCATCGAGGACTATCCGTCTTATTTCCATTGTGGTCCTTTAATCTTGTCCCCCAGGATGCAACCCACACCAGTCGACTAACACCCAGGTACCTACTTACTGCTAGGTGAACAGGACAACAGGTGTAAGGAAACGTGTCAAAATGTTTCTACCCTGCTGGGAATCGAACCCAGGCCCTTCATGTTTGTAGTGAGAGCTTTGCCAGCCAGGTAAATGTTTCATGTCTATGCACTTCTGGGAAGGCAGCCATTGAATGAGTGGTGGTGAATGCATTCCCTTTCTTTTGGTCACTACCTAGGTGGGAGGTGGCTGCTGTGTTAAAAACCAGTGTGCTGACAGTCTTCTGGACTGCTCTAGTGTGTTTTATCCCTCAGTCTGATTACTCCATCAGTGCCACCCGTGGCTTTAATACAGATTTTATTGTTGATCTGTCTAAACTATTATGTAATAGTTGAACCACTTGGCATGGATTTTGGGCTGTTATAGTAATGAGCTTGTGAAACTCGTGATGCTGGACATTAATGCTCCCTGGCCAGCTTACAAGCTATGAACCAGCCTGCCAGACTTAAGGTCATAAACATGTTTAAGAGCTCAGTGTTGCTTTAGTTTATGAAAGCATATTTAATTTCTCGATTTAATGGACCTCCGTTTAGTCAAGATCAAAGATGATACAAAATCTGCTGGGTAAATTGATTTTGGAAGCAACTGATATATTTACTTTTATCAAAATAAGCCATCTTAACTATGAATGTCTATTGGCTCTTTGCAGATAAAAAAGTCTCAAGGTAGTTTCAGTGACTTGTGGTCAAGATGAGTGAGATCGACCTCATGCTGGCTATACAGCTGCAGGCTCGGTTTGACGAAGAGCTGCGGGCAAGCCGTGAGAAGCAAGAGCAAGAACTCAAATCCAGAGGAGCTGTACCAGGTGAAGGTCAGGCATGGAGAGTGATGTTAATGTGCCAGTGACTCATAAGGCAACAGTAAGAGCAGCAGAGGCTATTTATACACATCAAGTTCCCGTGAAATATTCAACCTATCCATATTTTACAGTTAGCACAATATATTATATTTGTGGTAATTCCAAACATCCAACACAAAACCTAGTACTTTACCTAATCCTTAAAACAAGATCTTATAAATTCCAGAATGGTAGACAACTGGCAGAAAATATTTATAGTGGTCAAGACTGTAAATGTTTCTGAAAGGTGATTGTAAATGGGATGAGCTGTTTCTTCATACTTTTTTTGTATCATTCTACTCTGTTGTAAGAGAAGTACAGGCCTGCAAAATAAGAGGGTGTGGTCGGAACTTTTCATGCAAGATTTCCTAGATTAGTGGACTAACATAGAAACAGTGACTGGCAGACAGGTTGTACATTACATCAGTGTTGTGTTACAATACAATTAGGTAAGTGGTGCAGTGCATTGGCACTGGTACTTACATACCATACCAGGTCTGTGAATGACAGCAAAGATGTTAATACAAATGTCTACATGTATATTTTCTATGTTTTGATATAACAGCTTATTACTCTTAACTTGTGTAGCCAACAGAGCATTGGATCTCAGTCCTTGAGCCCATTTTGTGCCCTTGTAATCTTTTGACTGCTTCCCATTGGATGGATTGGGGTACATGATAATTCCATCAAATCATATCAAATCAGTAAAAGAAGCATTTTAATTACACTTCATTTGACTTCTGTGGCTGTATGTATGGTATTTTAATGTACAGTGATGATCAAAATTAAAGAAATATTTATTAATATATAGACCCTGGCCTAGGGTGTCTCGTCCCTCACCAATAAATACTAGCTGATTTATACATAACACAGTGTAAACAGTATCAGACATATGCATCTACCTTGGGATCTGTTCCAGACTTCATAAAATGTAAGTTTAGAATTTTACCCCTTATATCACAGGTCTAGTATTTACTGTAACCTACTTGTTTCTACTGTTATATCTAGCAGTAGATTGTCCTCATAATCACCTGGAGCCTTTCCTCACCTCTCAGGATCTACCACAAACAAGTGGAAGGCTGGAGGTCTGCTAGATGAAGTGCCGCAAGAGAAATTGTCAGTGTCTCTCATTGATGCCTCATGGGAGATGATTGACCCAAACCCTGACATCCACACACTCTTTCTTGTGTTTAATGACCAGTTCTTCTGGGGACGGTTGTCAGGAGTGGAGGTCAAATGGAGTCCAAGAATGACCTTGTAAGTGATAACTTGTTTCACTTCCCACGAGTTGCTTTCCAGGTTCTCATGTATGTCAAGGACCTAGAGGGGTAATTACTGTATACAACTTAATTGAGTAAACATTGCATAATACAGTACTTGGTAGATCACTGGCAGCATCAGTGGTATGAAACAGTGATCAAAAAATCTGTTTTTAATCAAATAACCTTTGAGGGTCTAGCCATTTTTCCTTCATCGCTATTGATTGTAGGAAATGGTACTCTCCCACATACACATGTTATGCCAGACCTATGTATGACCATCTCATGGAAAGTTCCCAAGTCATCTTGACAATTCAACATAATTTGATAGCTTGTCCCTTCCATCAGTGTGTGTGCTGCCCTTAGTTTAAACTTCTTTAATGCTGTAGCATTCTTACTGTGTCTGCCATCCTCTCTGAAAACCCCGACTTTACTGCATATGTTCTGTCTTTGTGACTGCATTAACTTTGGATTCCACTATTTTGTTCTTGTCCTCAACACTTCTATCTCTTTGCCACTAATGTCATCCACTTCTCCTTATACAGGAGGACTTAAATAATAATAGTAGTTTTCTGGCATAGCCTTAATGTAGTTTTATGCCAAGGTCTTGTTGCTGTTTATTAGGCCTAAGACTTGATGGCATCATTACAGGTGTGCTGGAGTATGCAGCTATGAAGGTGGTGGGGGATTGTGCTCTGTACGTTTATCAGTGCCATTACTTAAGCTTCGACCTCGCAAAGACCTTGTTGAAACACTCTTGGTATGACATATTCAATAGTGTAAATTTCTATTTCTTAAATGGCATTTGCGTCAGATACTGTATGGTAGTTATCACAGTTCCTTAGAAGTCACACATAATTTATGTATTGGATTAATAAATTGCAAATTGTTAATGATAAATGCAGTAATCCCTTAGAATTTGCTCATTTTTTATAACTGTCTCACAAATAAACTCATCCACAGTGCCATGACTCAAGTATGTAGACTGAAGTACGAAAAACAGTTGTAATTCATATACGTATATATTTTTAACAGAGCAACCATTACCTACCAAGACAGGATGACCCACAAGAAGAGACAAATTCACCAATACTCATTTACATGTATGATAAAGTGACAGAAAGTGCTCATGTGTAAAGCATTTCACTGTGTCTCGGTTAACTACAAGTCACTAACTAAAATCAACAAATTGTTAGAGTTGATTAACTATCAAAATCAAGGATTTTTCAAGATCTAGACAAACAGGATGTACCAGCATCTCCTACCAAGTATACCAGCACAATAGAAGCTGATGATATGCGCAAGTTCAAATATAACAGCACTGTGTATACAAGTGATCTAATCTGTTAAAAAAGTAGATCCCAGAACTCCACCTCATACACTTCCTCCTTTCCCTCCGACCTTTACCTCGCTAATTAAAATTTCATGTGCATTAATTTTTTGCTTTACATTGTTTATAACTTCTTTCTTTTCTTTCAACACACCGGCCGTATCCCACCGAGGCGGGGTGGCCCAAAAGGATAAACGAAAGTTTCTCCTTTTACATTTAGTAATATATACAGGAGAAGAGATTACTAGCCCCTTGCTCCCGGCATTTTAGTCGCCTCTTACAACACGCATGGCTTACGGAGGAAGAATTCTGTTCCACTTCCCCATGGAGATAAGAGGAAATAAACAAGAATAAGAACTAGAAAGAAAATAGAAGAAAACCCAGAGGGGTGTGTATATATGTGCTTGTACATGTATGTGTAGTGTGACCTAAGTGTAAGTAGAAGTAGCAAGACGTACCTGAAATCTTGCGTGTTTATGAGACAGACAAAAGACACCAGCAATCCTACCATCATGTAAAACAATTACAGGCTTTCGTTTTACACTCACTTGGCAGGACGGTAGTACCTCCCTGGGCGGTTGCTGTCTACCAACCTACTACCTATTGTTTATAACTGTGCACATGAAATATTCTATTAGAGGACAGCTGGCATCAATTTATAATCATCTGTTTACGTTATGGGAGTCACATGTTGATCATTTAAATTGTTGGTGGCTACCCAAAATGAACATCAATTACCTGTGAATTATCATTACTGTATATGAGTGTAGGCCCTGGTACTGTACTTTAAATTATAATAAAATCAGTGTATTGTGTGGCACTCTCATTGATCTTTGCATTTCTCCGCAGCACGAAATGATCCATGCCTACCTCTTTGTCACTGCCAACAATAGAGATCGTGAAGGTCATGGTCCTGAATTTCACAAACATATGCATCGAATTAATAGTGTAGCAGGAACTAATATAACGGTTTGTGTGGATATTTCTTATTTCTATAAAACAAGACTTTTTTTTCTTTGAGATGTTTAAGTTATAACCATTTGTATACCTTTTTTCCTTCCCACCAGCTAATTTTTCCTAAGACATGGTGACATAAACTTGGACACATGTTCACCATTACTTCACTAGCTGTCTTGTCAAAAGTGCAAAAACATCATAATTCAAATGACCATCTGAATATTTAGTTCTTAACTGACACATTTTATTGTGCGTTTATACATGCATCCTTCTTTCTTATGTTATAAAACTTAGCCTTTCATACCATTCTTCACATCTTTTTAATATCTTAAATAATATTACGTTAAACAGCATAGCATTCATTATTGTTGTTGTTTATCTACGAGTTATCTTTGCATTATTTTGTAATATGTTTTTGTATCCAGAAGTTTTATTTTAGTTATTCAAACAGTTGATTTGTTTTATATACCTTTAAATATATTAAATTTCTGAAATGCTGAGCATAATATTAGATTTGTAAAAATGTCATTTAAATCATGCACATACCATCACATACCTACAGTGTTTGTACATGTGTAAATAAAGAATTAAATTTGCATAGGTATGCTTAATTCACATATATCATTACTGACACATTAACTGCACACTTGCTTTTATTCACTGCAACACTTACTTATATTCACTGCAACCTTATATTGGTTTACAAATTAAATAAAAAGGATAGCTATAGAAGAAAATACTTAGAGTCTGTCATATTTGTGAGTGTAGACATCATAGACTAAATCCAAGTATCTTTTTAAAATCACTTCACCTCTGTCAGAATTACTACTGAAGGGGAGGTTAAACTTATAAATGTGATGTAACAATGTCCAGTTATTTCTGTAACTCACCTTGGTACCCTTACACCACTTAGTCATAATTCTATTCCCTTCTGAGCAAATGTCTACAATAAAGTCTTGTCTCCGTGATACTTTTATTTACAGGGTACCCCTTAGAATGATGCAGTTTGAAAATGTGCTTAACATATTCTGTACCTTCTAGCCACTGAATTGTCTTTTTCTTTTCAAGGTTTTTCACTCTTTCCATGATGAAGTAGCTGTGTATCGGCAACACATTTGGCAGTGTAATGGGCCCTGCAAGACAAGGAGGCCCTACTTCGGCTTAGTAAAACGAGCTATGAACCGAGAACCTGGTCCACGTGATCCCTGGTGGGAGGCTCACCGCCAGTCATGTGGTGGAACCTACTCCAAAATCCAGGAACCTGAGGGATACTCTGATAAGAAGAAAAAATCTCTCGCAACAGGTACAAAGGAAAAATAGTAAAAAATCTTTACAGTATTATTATGATTACAGGTACAGATTCACCTTGCTCTTCAAATTTGTACATTACATTATTGCTATATATCCATGAGTACATTTATTACAACCCATATTTGTTGTTTACAGATGCAAAAAAATTACCTGATAATTGTGGCGACATTAGAAAGTTTATTGGATTCAAAGGAAGAGGAAATTCTGTTAATGGTGGCACAGGCTCATCACATGCTTCCAACCTAAATGGGAAAAATAGTGCTTCCAAAAACAGCATGCCAGTCTTTGGTGTAACAAACAAGAGTTATGACAATGAAAGTAATGATTCAACTGGAAGTGATTCATATAGAGGTGCAAAACTCAATAACATACATGGGTTTGAAAGTAGAACTTCAGGTACAGTGAAACAAGTAAGTGTTGACAATGCTAGTCAATCAAAGGTACATGGATTTGGTGGTTCATGTCCAAAGAAGCCCTGTAATGTACCAGTGGAGTCTAGTAAAAGAATGTCCAATGGAAAGGCAGTGGGAAGACCCAGTGGTGGCTTTGGAACTGCTGTTGCAGTACGAGGCAGTGGCTCAAGGACAGTAACAGTGAAGGGGAAGACGTCAACTAAAATGGACAACCAAGTAGATGCTAGTAATAAAGTGGAAAATGCCACATCATTGCCAACTGTATTCCAGGGACAAGGCTACAGCCTGGGAGGGCCCAGCACTGGGGTGTCAAGGCTTCTGTCTCAGGGAAATGAATTACAGTCTTCTGAATCTCCCATGGCTTCTACTTCCTTTGCTGATAATGCAAATATATCACACATGCAAGAAAATTCCAGTTTCAAAAAAGAAAATTATGAAAGTAGTCCCTGGATCTCACGACCTACAACAGGAAGGAGTCCTGTGAAAGAAGATAATACATCTCAAAGTTCACAGAAATCCCTTAATAGCTACTTTGCCTCTCCATCATCAAAGTATCCAGATCACAATGGTGATCTTGGTGAATGTCCTGTATGTAATAAACTCTTCTCCAAATGGAAGATAAACCAACACCTTGATGAATGTATTGGCATGTTTGATGACAGTAGGAATGTCAGAAATACAGATAATGCAGATTTGAAGAGACCTTTAATGCAGAATAAAAGGAAAGAGAGTGTATTCACAGTGAGTGATGATGATGATGATCAGGCAGCAGCAGAGAGTCCATGTAGTGCTTCAAAGACATCAAAATCAAAGGGAAGCATGACAGACACTAGTCCAGGAGAGTTATACCCATGCCCAGTATGTAATGAACTTTTTTCAGATTTAAAGATTAATCAACATTTAGACAAACACTTTTAGTTTCATTAAGAGTTTATTTGTAAGATTTACACCAATTGTTGCTTCAGTAAAGATAGGTATTAATACAGTGATAGGAGCTGAGCTCATCTCTTCAGTCACTTAATTGATTGTATGTTTTGTATTTTCTGTACTGATCTGTTTTATTTTTTAAGATATATCATGTATGTAAAAAAAAAAAAATCATGTATGTAAACCTTATTATAATTATGGGTTTAGCATGTTTTAATGAATATAATAATTATAATATCCATGGGAAAGGGAAGAAAAGAACCTTCGTCTTTAAGCCACGTGGTGACTAAGCCGGAGGTGACTAAAATGCCGAGAGCAAGGGGCTAGTAGCCTTTTCTCTATAAATTACTAAATGTAAAAAGAATAAAAACTTTCATTTCTTCTTTTTTGGGTCACCCTGCCTTGTTGGGAGACTACCTGGTGTGTTAAAAGAATTATTATAGGTTCACATCTTTTTAATGTGCAAATTTGCTGTGTTTATACATGAATCAGTCATTTTTTAATATGATTTACTATTGTATGCCTTATTAAACGAACATGGGTATTTTTAATCTGTACAAACCTCCAGTGTCTTATGTATTTAGATGCTTTTATTAATGGGTTGAGTCTTGTGAGCTAGAGGAAAAACAACTAACCGAAATTGTGGCTAGCATTAGGAACTTAGTCTCTGTGGTAGAGCATTCTGCTCGGTCAAAAGGACTCAGGTTTAGTCTCCAGGCAAAGTGAGAGGTATGGGAAAGTCTCTTTAGACCTGTCTCTGTTCATCTAATAGTAAATAAGTGCCTCATTGTTAGTCTACTATTGTGGATCACATCCTAAAAGAAAGGACCCAAAGTGAAATAAACTACACTACTTGACTTTCTTGGATTTTCCTAGATTATTAATGTTAACCTTCTGGGTAACTGAAAGGAAAGTCTTTGGTTTCAAAACTTTATGGTCCATACAAACTTTGTGCATCTTCATGAATATTATAATTCTGGCAGCAGTAATAATGTTTAACCCGTAAACGGTCCAATCAGATCTACGTTCACATGTGTAGTGCTACAAAAGTAGATCTACGTTTTTTTTTTACATATTTTCAAATATAACAAAAAAAAAGTAGATCAAAGTTTTTTTACACATTTTCAAATGTAAAAAAACAAAAAGAAGATCTACTTTTTTTACATACTTCCAAATGTTGAAAAAACGTATATATACGTTTGGACCATTTACGGGTTAATGGCAGTTGTGTCTAAACCTTCAGTTGATATTCATATCAGGCAGTATAGATGGAGGAATGCCTAGTGGGTTTGTAGGAGGTACATGTTATATAAACACAGATCACTACATAAATTGATAAATAAGCTAGATAACTTTATTTTATGGACATATTATATTACTGTAATTTAAATTTGTAATAAATTTTGACATTTAGAGGGTGAATATACTATATGTGGGGAGGAAAAGTACACAAGAAATTTTGGCTTCAACCTCAAACCTTTTCCAAAAGGCAACTTTAAAAGCATAAATATGTGAAGAACCTATGTATACAGGTTTAGTGCTATGTTCTGAATATAATACAGCAATAATGATACATGCATAAAGTGAACAAATATGAAATAGTGACTAAGAATTACAATGCAAAAATCAGTGGTTTATTACCACTGTAACTGTTTAGCTATCAAAACTGTTTTCCAGTCCCTGGACCCATTATATGCCTCTGTAATCTTTTGACTGCCACCCACACTAGGGGTTTGGTGCATAATTAAGATATAAAAACAGACCACCTAGGGATTGAAAAGTTCACCCTCTGCCCATCTTCCCTTAATATCTTATGGGTTTCGTATGTTTTTATGAATAGTAGCATTGCCAATTATAATTATAACTTTAATTTTTAAAGGGGTGGACCGGTAAGCCAGCAGAAGGCCTCAGTCAGATGGCCATAAGCTCCACTACGGGTCATCATGACTGAGACCCACATCAGGAAACACTGGTCCTGTTTCCTGACAAACACCCTAACTTGTATGAATACATCAATACTTGTTGGGTGCACAATTCGGATAATATGTGAAAGAGGTTTTCCAACAATAACAAGCTGTAGAGTGCTTACAATTTGACAGTGTTCCTACTCTAAACATTAACCTTCAAAAGGTGGGGGAGGGGGTTGTATTGATTCTGGTGAAAACCTCTTGATTCAAGGAATCAGAGCTACCCTCACCTTTGATAAAACAGGTACATTTCTTTCCCCAAGTGCTGTATGACCTCTTGTGTTTAGTGCTTCCTTTTGAATTCACTATAGCAGTAATACTGTACAGTAAAAGAATATTGTTCAAATTCTTACAGGAATCTACTCCACTGGATTTTAACTTCTATTGATGAACATTGTGTTTTTACACTCCTCCAGTGTTATGTGACAAGGTTAGCATTTTGTGAGTATGTATAGTAATAATAATCATAATCCTTATACCCTTCAAACTTGTATCGTTATTGTCAAGACATCTTACAGTAGCAAGTGAGGCTACCTGGAGAGGGTTTCGGGAATCAAGACCCTGTCCATGACCAGGCTTTGCAGTGAATCAGGGCCTGATCAACCAGGCTATTACTGCTGGTTGCTATGTATGATTCAAACTCAAGGGGATGCCTTGATGCCAGTACAGAGCTCCTGATCCAATGAACTGGAGCTGCCCCTTCCATGGATCAAACTTGATTACCTCCCATGCTGCAGCAGTGTGACTTACGGGTTTAGCACTTAAGTATGAACTCTACAGGTTCAAATGGTTCTGGGGAACTTCCCTTGATGCTGGTGAGGGGATCTTGATTAAAGGAATTGTAGCTATTCCATTCCTCGGATCAAATTATATAACCTCTCAGGATCTGAATATAACCCCTACAGATTTAGTGCTTCCCACAACATAATGAAAATATGTTTTAACATTGCCCATGATATATACCTTGATGCTGAACCCTTCAAGAGGCGCAGTCATACCAGTGAAGGGATCATCATCCAAGGAACTGGAGCTACCCCTCTTTATCCTGGTAACCGCAAAGGCACTGACTCTTATAGGTTTAGCGCTTCTCTATGAAAACCTTATTAATGCTGGTGAAAGGGCAAGGAATCAATCAATCAAGTTTATTCTCTATAAGGATTACAATGCGGGGTTTACAGATTTTGGATATGGTGTGATTTACATGTTATAAAATATTAATTACAGAGTGAGAATAGAAGCATCAGGAAAGAGAGAGGTGAAGGTTTATAAACTAAAAGAGGAGGCAGTTAGGGTAAGATATAAACAGCTATTGGAGGATAGATGGGCTAATGAGAGCATAGGCAATGGGGTCGAAGAGGTATGGGGTAGGTTTAAAAATGTAGTGTTAGCGTGTTCAGCAGAAGTTTGTGGTTACAGGAAAGTGGGTGCGGGAGGGAAGAGGAGCGATTGGTGGAATGATGATGTAAAGAGAGTAGTAAGGAGAAAAAGTTAGCATATGAGAAGTTTTTACAAAGTAGAAGTGATGCAAGGAGGGAAGAGTATATGGAGAAAAAGAGAGGTTAAGAGAGTGGTGAAGCAATGTAAAAAGAGAGCAAATGAGAGAGTGGGTCAGATGTTATCAACAAATTTTGTTGAAAATAAGAAAAAGTTTTGGAGTGAGATTAGCAAGTTAAGGAAGCCTAGAGAACAAATAGATTTGTCAGTTAAAAATAGGAGAGGAGAGTTATTAAATGGAGAGTTAGAGGTATTGGGAAGATGGAGGGAATATTTTGAGGAATTGTTAAATGTTGATGAAGATAGGGAAGCTGTGATTTCGTGTATAGAGCAAGGAGGAATAACATCTTGTAGGAGTGAGGAAGAGCCAGTTGTGAGTGTGGGGGAAGTTCGTGAGGCAGTAGGTAAAATGAAAGGGGGGTAAGGCAGCCGGGATTGATGGGATAAAGATTGAAATGTTAAAAGCAGGTGGGGATATAGTTTTGGAGTGGTTGGTGCAATTATTTAATAAATGTATGGAAGAGGGTAAGGTACCTAGGGATTGGCAGAGAGTATGCATAGTTCCTTTGTATAAAGGCAAAGGGGACAAAAGAGAGTGCAAAAATTATAGGGGGATAAGTCTGTTGAGTATACCTGGTAAAGTGTATGGTAGAGTTATTATTGAAAGAATTAAGGGTAAGATGGAGAATAGGATAGCAGATGAACAAGGAGGCTTTAGGAAAGGTAGGGGGGGGTGTGGACCAGGTGTTTACAGTGAAACATATAAGTGAACAGTATTTAGATAAGGCTAAAGAGGTCTTTGTGGCATTTATGGATTTGGAAAAGGCGTAAGACAGGGTGGATAGGGGGGCAATGTGGCAGATGTTGCAGGTGTATGGTGTAGGAGGTAGGTTACTGAAAGCAGTGACGAGTTTTTACGAGGATAGTGAGGCTCAAGTTAGAGTATGTAGGAAAGAGGGAAATTATTTCCCAGTAAAAGTAGGCCTTAGACAAGGATGTGTGATGTCACCGTGGTTGTTTAATATATTTATAGATGGGGTTGTAAGAGAAGTAAATGCGAGGGTCTTGGCAAGAGGCGTGGAGTTAAAATTAAAGAATCACACACAAAGTGGGAGTTGTCACAGTTGCTCTTTGCTGATGACACTGTGGTCTTGGGAGATTCTGAAGAGAAGTTGCAGAGATTGGTGGATGAATTTGGTAGGGTGTGCAAAAAAAGAAAATTAAAAGTGAATACAGGAAAGAGTAAGGTTATGAGGATACAAAAGATTAGGTGATGAAAGATTGGATCAGTTTGGGAGGGAAGATTTATGGAGGAGTGAATGTATTCAGATATTTGGGTTGGACTGTCAGCGTGGGTCTTATGAAAGATGAGGTGAATCATAATTGTTGAGGGAAAAGGGTGAGTGGTGCACTTAGGAGTCTGTGGAGACAAAGAACTTTGTCCTTGGAGGCAAAGAGGGGAATGTATGAGAGTATAGTTTTACCAACGCTCTATTGGGGTTTACCTGGAGTTTACTGGAAGAGTTTCGGGTCAACGCCCCGCGGCCGGTCTGTCAGGCCTCCTGGTGGATCAGCGCCTGAATCAACCAGGCTGTTGCTGCTGGCTGCACGCAAACCCACGTAGAGCCAAGCCCGGCTGATCAGGAAACTGACTTTAGGTGCTTGTCCAGTGCCAGCTTGAAGACTGCCAGGGGTCTGTTTGTAATCCCCCTTATGTGTGGGAGCATTTTGAACAGTCTCGGTCCCCTGACACTTATTGTATGGTCTCTTAACGTGCTAGTGACACCCTGCTTTTCATTGGGGATGGTTATTCTGCAAGTCTTTTGTTTCGTAGTAGTGATTTTCGTGTGCAAGTTCGTACTAGTCCCTCTAGATGTTTCCAGTGTATATAATCATGTATCTCTCCCTCCATGCGATTCCAGGATACGGTTTAGAAACTCAGCGCTCCGTAATTAGGGTTTTATCTCCGTTTGCGCGCGTGAAAAGTTCTCTGTACATTTTTCTAGGTCGGCAATTTCACCTGCATTGAAAGGTGCTGTTAGAGTGCAGCAATAGTCCAGCCTAGATAGAACAATGACCTGAAAGAGTGTCATCATGGCTTGGCCTCCCTAGTTTTGAGGTTCTCATTATCCATCCTGTCATTTTGTCTAGCAGATCGATGATACATGTTATGGTCCTTGAAGGTGATCCTCCGAATGAATCACTCCCAGGTCTTGACGTGGTGTTTCGCTCATTTTGTGGCCAGAATTTGTTTTGTACTCTGATGAAGATTTAATTTCCTCAATGTTTACATATCTGAGTAATTGAGAATTTCTCGTTGAACTTCATAATGTTTTGCAGCACTGAAGATGTTTGGTTGATGTCCGCCTGGAGCCTTGCAGTGTCTGCAATGGAAGACACTGTCATGCAGATTCGGGTGTCATCTGCAAAGGAAGACACGGTGCTGTGGCTGAATCCTGTCTATGTCGGATATGAGATAGGAACAAGATGGGAAGTAAGGTATGGTGCCTTGTGGAAAGAGCTTTTCACCGTAGCATGCCTCGGACTTTACTCTGTTGACGACTACTCTCTGGTGTGAAGCATGGGTGATGAATGTTGCAGCGAGGAGAAGGCTGGAGGCAGTGGAGATGTCATGTCTGAGGGCAATGTGTTGGTTAATTAATGCAGAGAATTTGTAGTTTGGGAAGTTAGGAGGAGGTACGGGATACAAAACTGTTGTCCAGAGGGCTGAGGAAGGGTTGTGAGGTGTTCGGATGTAGAGAGAAGGAGCGAAAAACAGAGTGACTAAAGAGTGTATCGTCTGAAGTGGAGGAAGGGAGGGGGTAGGGGCGGCATTGGAAAGGTTGGGGGAGGGGGTAAAGGAGGTTTTGTTGCAAGAGGTTGGACTTCCAGAGGCATGCGTGAGCGTGTTTGATAGGAGTGAATGAGACAAATGGTTTTTAATATTACGTA